TACGTACGTACGTACGTACGTAGTAAGTTAAGTAGGTAGTAGTAGTAATAGTAGTAGTATACTACTACTTACTTACTTACGTTACTACGTAGTAGATTATATATATATATATATATATATATATATATCACTCAATATAAAAATGACCTCCCTATAAATATAAATTTCAAATATTCAATGTGATATATCTCTAAATCACAAGATGGTCATCTATTATATTCATTGTTTAAAAAGTCAATGAGTTGAATTGGACTCGTCTGGTTCGACTCGAGAATCGGCACACCCGTGCTGGTTCCAGCGAAACATGGGGAATTGCCTGTGTCTAGAGAGAACCAGGCAATTCCCAATAGTATATCGCCCGAGTCACTATTCAAACACGGGTGAACAATGTTTTACCATGGGAATCAACAAATTTTGGTATTTTTTTTATAATTGTTGTGCTTTTTCAGCATGTGAATCGAATATTTCAGCTTTTTTATTTAGCTTTTCAGCCTTATCATTCGATAAATTGGAGTTGAAATCTTCAATTTCGATCACAAATCGGCGGATTTGTGAACAAGAATGGGTTTTGTTAGGTTTCCACCATTTCCCTGATTTCAAGCAAAATAGAATATCATTTTTTGTAAAATCTAAGGGTTATTAATCTTATGAGTGTTATTTAGAAGAAATTAATAATACCTTGCGAGTATTTTGGTCCATTACAACTCATATTTGGATTTGAAGCCACAGTTGCAGAAAAACAGGTAAGAAGTTCGGTTTTCCACCATTCAATCGATTGCATTCAAGTTTTTGCAAATAATTTGTTAATATTATAGGGTTTTGATTCCTTATAGTGTTATTTATCATAAAATACATTCAATTAGATCTAATTTGTTTGATTTGAGGTGGATTTTCGAGTTCAAATGATTGATGCCAGGTTTTTTCTGCATTTTTTTTTCCACCATTCTTTGAATTACACATGAAATAGATCATTATTTCGTATGAAATAAGAGAGAAATTAGTCGTGATTGTGTTATTCATTAGAAATTGTACACCTTTTGTGTCGATTTTGGTGGATTTGTAGTGAATTTTTTATTTTGAGTCACGGTTTTGTGAAGAACAATTAGGGTTTTTTTTTTCCCCATCAAACTACAAATATGATACGAATTAAAGTACTATTATGAATTATTTTAGAGGGTTTTTTAAGGTAATACTATTATTCAATTAATTTTAGGTGTAATTTGTCGGATTAAGCAATTTTTATTGCTCGATTTCGGATGAAGAGGAGTTGTGTTGAGTTTTTTTGAATTTTTTTTTTGATGACCACTGGTTTTGAAAAATCTTGATTTTCTAAAAAATTGTGAAAATTGTGATAAGGTTTTGATTATCATGAAGAATTAAATTGTATTTTTAATTTTTATTGTTAAATTTTTAGTGCAAAAAATTGCATGTTAATAGATTATAGATGCAAAAAAATACATGTTGTTAAATTTTTAATGCAAAACTGTATTTTTTAATTTTAATGCATAAAATGTATGTATATGATTGATAAATATTTTATCATTATATTATCTTGAATGACTATATCATTGTAAATATTATTTGTGGCATGTATGTATATTCTTGGTATTAACTGTAAGAATATCATTGTAAAAAAATCGTGGCATGTATGATAATTATATTATCTCGTATTTTTCAATTTTATTATTAAATTTTTAATACAAAAAAATGTATGTTGATACATAAATTGTATATATATTATTGATAATTGAGTTATAGGCATGTTTAGAGCTTGTATTTTTTATTATATTATCTTGCATTTTTGTAATTGAGATGTACGACTATTTATGATCATTTTAATTGAGTTGGGTTTGTGCCCACTATATCATTGTAAATATTATTTGTAGAATTGTGAATGACTATATCATTGTAAATATTTTTTGTGCCAAATGTACGTGTAGTGACATTATGGATGACTATATTATTGTAAATTTGTTGTTGAATTGTATGCTTTATTGTACTTTATGTATGATGATGTATTTAATCCATGATAATTCTATACTTATCCTTTTGTGTGATATAAATTAAATGATAAACAGTAGTTTATGCAGGAAAATAACCTATCAATATTTGCATATTCATGCAAAAAAACGAAAATTTTTAATGGAGTACCCCCATTTATTATTGGATTCTTAAAAGACAACATTTATAATGAATTTTAATAATTTTTTCGGATTTTTTTTAAGGCTTGACCTAATCGATTCCCGATCCGAATGGGTTTTTGAGATGTGCCCGATCTGGGGCACCGATTTGTTTTTTAAACCGTGAATTCTATTCATCAAGATAAGTATTTGGGTAGGTGAATTCAATTTTCATCTTTCTAAAACGAAATAGTCTACCCCATACTTGTTAACTATGATCTACCCATAACGACATGAAAAAATACGCACCATATCCAACAAGAGAAAGTTTTGGGAGGATAGAAATAGAAATTTCATAAAACAAGAAAAAGATATTGAACTTTCCAAAAAAAAATCTGAGTATATTAATAGAAAATTGTTTTGAAACATTTTTTTCAAATTTCTAAAAGTCAAGTTTTAAACTTCTTCTTGAAAAAAGTCGCAAATTAAATCGCTTTTAAAAAACGCACCGATTTTTTAAAAAAGTCATGATTAAATCATTGACACTCTAACTATGGGCTGGACCGCATTTCTATATTATGAGGTCGAGAGATATAAAGCATCCATCTTAAAAAATGGATGCAAATAGGTGGTCTATCTAAAAATAAGTGTGGTTAACGGTCTAAATATTTTTTTAATATAATTATTATTTATAGTTTTCTAAAAAAAAAATCATATTCATGATCTCCATGTTAAAGATTATATATTCTCTAAATATTAAAATCAAATTATATTTAAAAATATATTTATTGCCAATCCTATATATCTACAATATACGGGCTGGCCACATAGAAACTATCCTTTTGATTATCGACTTTCTTCTTTTGGTTCTGCCACCCAAAACATTGATATGAAATGACCAACAACAATATTAGGTGGACTAATAAAAATTTTACGGCTACCTGACACAAGCCTTTTTGTAGTAATTTTTTTTTTTTAGTTTAATTTGGTTTGTCCTCCCTTGGCCTGATTAGGGCTTTGCCGGATCCAAGCATACCC